TAGCAAGTAATATAATAAAAGTAAAGTATCATTCCCTTAAAGATTTGTTCAAAAACAATAATCAAGCAAAAGACTAAGCAAATTCGATCAAGTTGAGATACACATAGTTAGATGAAAATAATTTTACGAATGAAACTAACACTAGAAAATAAAGAAAGTGATTGATTCACAAACTTCAAACACAAATTGAGACATAGGATTATTTATCCCCCTTGCATTTTATAACACCAAAATCACCTCTTCTCATTAATGTTTTAATGAAAATAAGTGCTAACCTGGGGTTCTAAAAATACTTGAACAAGCTCTCTCAAATTATTAACAAGTGTTTAGTTAAATTAATTGCTTAATCTCTTGTTATAATTAATTAAATTTAATTTTAAATACCAACCCTAATGTGGCCATGCAAAGCTAGCAAGTATATCTTTATCTTACTAGTACAACCATCCATTCAATATGCAAATATCAAGTTCTTACACAATTTTACCCAAATTCTACACTCAATCTAGCCTTCTCAATCATCAATTAAGTGAATCCAATATCTAAATGGTGGCCAATCACTTAGAAGCATTAAGGAAGGAGCAAAATAAACACATATATATCATTAATTACAAAAAGAGAGGAGAAACATAGTGTTAATCCATACAAGGGTTTTAAATAATCCTAGAATAAAGGGTTTAGCTATTCATAATAATCTATAAGCTATAAATATACAAAATAAGTGGACACATTTTAGATTACAAGATAGAAAAGGGAAGAGGAATAGAAAAATCAAAGAAGAAGAGCTTCAAATATCTTTAAAGCTTCAATCTGTTGATCCCAACTCTTCTAATGCCTAAACCCTACACAACCAAGCTCCAAATGTGTTTACAAGTTTAAAGAATACGTTCTGGGTCGAGCTCTTAGCATATATATGTCCTAGCCAATTAATTTATGATAAATGAAACGCAGAGTTTTTTTGACAACGGCAAAAGTCGCGAATGAAAGTTATGACTTCAAGACGACTTTGGCAGTCTTGCACTATTTTTACAGCCAACGAAAACCATTCATTTTGTGCTTGATTTTTTCATTCAAAACCCTTCTAAAAACATCCACAAAGCTCCAAAAATGCTTCTAATCAAAATTTCAATCAAAATAACATGAAATTAGGTCAAAAATATCAAATCAAAGCTAAGAATACAAACCTAAAATAAAATACACATTTTTTTAATTTGGACAATAAAAATATATACAGTTGAGCCAAAATGAATTAAAATTTAAAAAAATATGATGAAATAACATGAACTTCTGGAGGTTAACAACGAACATTTGGTAAAAGTTAGCGGTAGAGATAAAATTGTCCTAACTTTAATTGTTCAGGATAACCTTATAAATTTATCAGAGAGAAATTATAAAATTAATAGTTGAATTTATAAATTTCTGAAACTTGACATTTAAAATCTAATTTAAATTAATTAAGATCTCTCTATCATTTTTTCTTAATTTTATAATTTCCTTCAACATTTTAATTTTATTTACTCTCCTTGGCGTTCGGTAAAATGTCACAACTTTAAAACACACACTTAAGCTAGAAGTCAGGAATCCAGTTTCCCAATTGAATTAAAAGAGGCTTAAAGTTGAAGCTTGATTGAGGCGATAATTCTTGAAATTCAATTACAAATTCTCAACAACTTCTAAGTTTAATTATTCTCACCGAACACAGAATAATTATATCTTGCTCATCTGCAGGATTTAGCCAGATAACAACCGGTCAATTTATTTCAAGGGAAGAAAACAAAGAAAGCAGAACCACGAGAGTGGGTCACGTGCTAAAAGGTTTGGGGGGGGGGGGGGTGCACGCGGTTTCCCGGAGACCAAGAGCAACAAGACACATGTCCATTCGCGAAGCAGCGTAACTTTAAATGAGCCCGCGTCAAACCTCAAGATCATACTAATAATACCAAAATTTATTTATTTTCTGAATTTTATATTGTAAAAAATATTATGCTCCTTGTGGCTTCCTCATGACAAAATAATAATGACAACAATAAGTGAAAATGACATATAAATGTTAAAAAAAATTAATTAATTTAATTTAAATTTTAAATATTAAATTTTAAAAATTTAGAAGTTTAATTTATAATTTTATAATTTTATTGTAATAAATTTATACTTTATATTTTAAATTTTAATAAAAAATATATTTATTTATTATTCAAGTTAAAAAAAATAAATTATAAATTCAATACAATAAGATTATAAGATTAAGAATTGAATTTATAAATTTTTAAAATTTAATACTTTAAATTTAAATTAAATTAATTTATCTTTTGGACCCATCTCTCGTTACCCCTAATAATAGTCATAGCCTGCCATTCTAGCATCCTGTGCCTGCGCCTTTCCGCGTCTACCCCGTGTTCAAAACGCGTGTCCCGCATCCGAAAACGCGTGTCAGCCCCTCCGCCCTCTTTTCTGATTTGATCTCATGTCCCTTTTCCCCATAAAAAATAAAACATGAGAAAATTAATTATTAATATTTTAAGTTTTAACGGACTTCAACTCAACTCGAGATAGCGTAACTCAGTATTCATCATTTTTTTAGTGAATAATTTTTGAACTCTAACTCGATGAAACTTCTTCCTATAATATAATAATTTAAGATGCTAATCCCTGCATGTTAAAATAAATAAATTTATGGGAATAAAAGTTGTTTGTCAAACATAAAAAATAAAATATTTAAATGGTTAAAGGAATTAAATTGTATTGGATTAAGCTTTAAAAATTAAGCTATATATAATCAAATTTAAATTATAGGTATTCAGATTTATCATGTCAAAATTTGTGAATTAAATTTTAAATCGATCAGAATTATAAAAATTAAATAATTAATTATATACTGCGTGCTTTTTTAAGGATAGTAACAATCATTTGCTCTTGGGGGAAAAAAAGTAAGAATCATTTGCTTACAAATAGTCGCATCAAGATGCGCCCGTGCCACTTTCCTCCGTCCACCACCGTCGGCTTTCCCATGATTCCAAGATTAGACATGTTCTGGCACTATCAATGCATATTTTTTCTATATATTCAAGGACTAGATGAAACGGTCGCGTGTCAGCGCAGTCCCCCTGGACGCACCTGCAAATACAATATAGGGTTTTTGTGAAGATCTTTCTGGCTTCAGGTAAATATGCCATTCTATATTCTTTTCATGATAATATGAGATATTGATAATTAATTACTTCATGAATTTTTTTAATTAGATAAAGTCATAATCTTTTAATTTTTTTTTACATGTTTTCAGCCATACATTCATTAAATATTATATATAAATATATTAATAATGACAATTAAAATTTCAATACATCATTATTTTTAAAAATTAAAAATTAAAAATAAATCAAGAATATAATTAAAAAATAATTATAAAAATCACGTGATACTTGTATTTTGAATAAGTAAAATTTTTAGAATATATTTTACTTCCTCCAATTTAAAATATAAATAATTTTTAAGATAAATTTGCATACCAATAAAGTCATATTTTTATAAAAATATATATTATTTTTTTATTACTAGTCTCAATTACCAATACATTTTATGATATGTGAGATATACATTAGGTTGCTTATATTTTAAATTAAAATTGATTAAAAAAATGCTTATATGTTGGATTAGAATGAGTATACTGTAAAATCCTTCTATGGTAAGGATGGCCCTACCCACATGTCTGACAAAACCCTCGTGCCTGAATTTAAGGTTTGCAATCTAATTCTGGCTAATTTAACTTCTAACTTCCACCAAGCAGTCTTGAAGACCTCCCCTCAAACATAGCCAAAGGAGATATCCGACACTTCACGCACTCGAGTTCTCTTTCCGAGCATGTCATGAGCTATTGAAGCCATGAATACAAGTAATTTAACTTCGGTAATAGCCAGTGAAAGAGGATATATTAGATTTGCATATGAAAATAGATAAGTTTTCTTCGAATGTTGTTTGCTATGATGAAAATAAGAAAGGAATATAAATAAGTCATGATAAATTTACTAAAATGCCATGCATAAGTTGAAGCACATAATGAAATTTTTGAAGAATATTATGCCATGCCTGCAATACCATTGTTACTTAGCTTATGTGATAGAATGAAATTTGGTGGGACGTTAGTCCGTAGAATGATGGCAGGGCATGAATTCATTAAAGCCAAACGAAGTCATTCTCTCTGTTTTTTCTCCCCCATTGTCATTTTGCTTTTGAATGATTTCCTCTAGACCAAACACAACTAAATGGTTTTATTGGCAAAAAAAAAAAAAAAAACTATTTGATGACGCCTTTCTCTCCCTTTTATCGCTCTCCTCCAATCTGCATCTCCGTTTTTCCACCCTTCCGGTTATGAGTTATTACGAGGTTGATTTTTCTTGTGTTTTTGGTCTACCCCCTATTCAACCGTCAAAAAAATTCAATTGAACGAATCTGGATTTGCCATCCGCTAAATTTTCTCTCTCTGTTTCTTTCTTTGGCAGCAACATTGACGCTGCCAGGCTTATCATCGCAGACATTGAGATTTCTGTTAAGTTAAAAGTTGGAATCTCCGATTTAAATATATTCCCACCTTCTAATATTTGGTATCCTTATAAATTATCTTTTCTATTTCTTTTCATGAAAAGAACTGTTCAATGAAGATAGTAGATAAGTACTTTGCTTCCTCCTCATATTATTTTCTTCTAGATTTAAGAAATCTGACAGGGCAATTTCAGAATTCTACATCAAAATTTTAGAGGAAAATTTGAATAATCTTTGAAATGATTTAATATCCAATTATGACTTAGGTATTTGTTAAAATTTAAATTTTAAGAGTACTTATCACATTAAATCATTTCAAAAGTTTTTTTTATTAACATTCTCCTAAATTTTTAAATGCAATAGGCAAGTTTGGCAAAGAAAAAGAAAAGGAAAAAAAAAGAAAAAAAATAAAAGAAAGAAAGAAAAAGAAGAAACAGGAAAGATGAATGGAGCTATAAAATCGCAAAACGAGCACCGCTTATCCTCAATTCCTCATGCCTTTCGGTTATTTCTCGGTTCACTGTCATACCACTAAGTTCTTCCTTTCTCCCATTTATCAGAAAACGCAAGCAGAACCGTAACAATGTCGACGAACTCAACCGCACCCGCTACGGCCGTCTCTAGCCCTGGCTCTAACCCTGTCTCTAAACCCTCGATGTATCTCCAAGACCCGGAAGAACTCCAGAGAGTCTTTAAACGCTTCGACGCCAACGGCGACGGCAAGATCTCCATCAACGAGCTGGACAACGTTCTCAGGACCCTCGGATCAGGCGTTCCGCCGGAGGAGCTCCAACGCGTCATGGACGACCTTGACGTCGATCACGACGGATTCATTGACTTCACGGAGTTCTCTCAATTTTGTCGCTCCGACACAGAGGACGGCGGTGCTTCCGAGCTCCGCGATGCCTTTAACCTCTACGATCATGATAAGAATGGCCTAATCTCCGCCTCCGAGCTCCACATGGTGTTGAATCGATTGGGATTAAAGTGCACCGTCGAGGAATGTCGCGTCATGATCAAATCGGTTGACTCCGATGGCGACGGCAACGTCAATTTCGAGGAATTCAAAACGATGATGACCAACAAACCTAGAAATGGCTCCTCCCAGTAGAAGAGCCACTAGCATTTTCAATTTACAGGTCCTCCTAGTTTTAGGCATCACAGTTTGTAACCATTCCGGATCCCAAATCTGCATCTCGGCTCCCGTTGTAGTATGTTTTCTCTTGCCTTACTTTTTGATTTTTGGGCCTTTTGTTACTACTTGGCTTTTAGTTTTCATTATACGAATAATTTTGTGATCGAATGGCCGAATGCTGAACAGAAACTTTGCATTGACCAAACGAAAACGTCAATCGCTTACTCCTTACTGTTTCGGTTTACGTGTCATTTCGTTGATGAATGATTTAGGGTGTGTTTGGATTAAAAATTTTACAACTGAGGTTAAGATTCAATTGATGTTAGTAAATTAAGATTAGAAAAAAAGTCAGTTAATGTAACGTGATTTATGTTTGGATACCTTATTTTTAAAAGTCAGTTAGATAAACTTTAAAATGTTTAATGACAAAAATAAACATGAATTTTTTTCTTAAATATTAAATCTTAAATAAACATGATTATATTTTTAGACTAACTAATAAGTAAAAATATTAAATTTAAAATGACAGTTAATAAGTAAAATATTTTAAATATTCAATTACAAAAATCTAAAATAAATTAATGTTCAATTGATATGATTTACAAGCTGGTCTCTAATTATATCACGAACATGCTGCATCTGTCTTAATGATCTGGGTAGATTTGACGAGTATGCCTCACCAATATCGATATCTTCCTCAAGGACATCTACACTTTCATCTTTAGCTTGAATGAATTGCTCATCAATAATTGAATTTCTCCTAATAAAGTTATATATTGTCATTGTTGCACAAACAATTTGAACTTGTGTTTTATATTTAAATTTGGGCATTTTTCGTATAATTGCAAACCTATTCTTCCATACTTCAAATGTTCTTTCTATAGTGCATCTCAAACTTGAATGATAATAATTGAAGACCTCATTATTGTTTGCAAATCCTGCAACTCGCCTGAAGTCTGGAAGGTGATAGCGTTCGCAACGATATGGATCAAGATACCCATTTAGTGTTGGATAACCAGAATCAACCAAATAATATTTACCTATTAAATAAAAGGAAGTTTTGTAAAATTAACCAACATTAAATTAATGCAATAATAATTATGGTAACTTTAATAAAATATACCTGAAGGTGGATGCGGAAAATGCATTGAAGGAGTTGATATGGCATTATCAAATACTCGAGCGTCATGAGCCGTACCTTCCCATCCCGCAATGACAAAAGTAAAACACATGTCCCAATCACATACAGCCATGACATTCTGTGTTGCATATCCCTTTCTTCCAATAAATTTAATTTTATCAACAACACTAACCACGCATGGCACATGAGTGCCATCAATTGCTCCTATAGCATCCTTAAAGAATGGCCAATACAGTAGATCATTTTGAATTTTTGAATGACATCGTTGAAATGAAGGATCAAATGGCTTTATGTTTGCCTTGGAAAGATTAAGGCAGGCAGCTAATATTTTATGAAAATTTCTATGGACAGAATGTTGAAATCGTTCCTGTATCATCCTATTACCAACTCCATGTCCAATTGTATTCAAAAACATTTCAACCATTTCTTCAACTCTCATTTTTTTAGATTTCTTTAGACCAAGCTCATCTAGTGTCGCACATAGTTGCCTAAACAAATGTTTTTCCATTCGAAACATTTCATAACAACGATCAGGATGACCTTGCAAAATCTCATTAACCCACATTTGCCCTGTTTGCCTGCTAGTTCTTCGTGGCTCTTTACACACATATGGCATCACATATTCACCAACTAATTGACATATTTCTTCTTGCTCAGATATATCTTGTTGTAACAAGGGAAGTAGTTGATGAGCCACATCTACATCCCAACCTTCATTCCAACCTAACATATATTCATTTGAATCTTCCATAATTTTCAACCTGAGGTAAAATAGTATATGAATATCATTTGTATATAATATAAAATACATAGTATATAAATATCATTTAACAACATAAAAAATAAAGCATAAGATAAGCATTAGATAAGAGTTAAATATTCACTACAAACCAGCCAAAAGAAACTACAAGCAGTCTTTAAGTCAAAATAAACACCAGTCAAGTCATCATAAGCATAGCGAGGTACAAGTCAGCCAAAAGCAACTACAAGTAGTCTTTAAGTCAAAATAAACACCAGTCAAGTTATCATAAGCCTAGATAAAAATTCATCCTGATGTATTCTTTGAAATAAAATCCGGTAAATGGTAGACTTAGTGCTTCAACCAATTGACCAAGTGGTCAGGATGGTCTTTAAGTTGCCAGTAAGCATCTCGCATAGGCTTGTATAGAACAAGATTGACACATCTCCAATGTAAATCTTTATCACCAAAAACTTCTGGGAGTCCATTTAGGTGAGCCACAACCTCAGAAACTATTATGTCATTTGCCAAAATCTTGTTCACTGTCTCTGTTCTAGCTCTATTATCCTTGGCCATTTCACTCATCGCATCTGCTATTTTCATTGAGGCAGGGACTTTTTGCTTTTTCCTCCCATTAACGCCTACCACCCTCTTTCTCTTGCCTTGACTTCTGTCACCACTAGTTCCACCAGTATTTGTGGTGACATTCAAGCCTAACAACTCATTGGTGACCCCGTAGGTACTGCAGTGTCAGATAAATTTAACTCCTCTTCACTATCACCGGAGTCTTCTCGAAGGTTAATAGTAGGGTGGTACACATCCTCATCATCATCATCCTCTATTTGGGTCTAGGTAGCAGATGGTATAAAAAGTGTCTCCTCAGTTGTTAGGACATCCTTGAATATCAAGGTTAATTCCCTTGCAAATCTCAGACCTTTATATCTAAATTTTTCATAAAGAGGATTTTCCTGCAACTATTCAAATAACCAACAATTAAAATTCTCAAATTAAATTCTAATTCTAAAAACACTTAACAACTAATCCATACCAAGATTTTTCGCTCCCATAACTCATCTAGAGCATGAACAGTATTCTTGTCACTGTCCCATCCTAAGCCGGTTTCACTTGAAAACAACTTATGCCATACGTTCCATTCTTTCCTCATGTTATCTAGCTTATTTTTCAATTGCTTTTGCTCATACCTTTTTCCTGTTTTTACCTCAAACCCCTCAATTATTGCCTGCCACCCATTTTTGTTGAAAGCAGTTCCTTTCCTTTGTTTCTTGTACACTTGTTCCAAGCATTCTTTAATAAAGATTTCTGTTAAAGTTGAATTCCACACAGCTTTTCCTTTATCGCTGTTCATTATTGTATAGACTAGCTAGCTATCACAAACATGCAAAATCAATATATATCTCTACATATATGCAAAATCAGTATATATCTCCTATTTTCAGTTTGGCATTTTTCAAATTCATGGAGTTTATATAATAAAGAACAAAAATTTAAAATAATGCAACTTGCACAAAAAGAATTGAAGCATGATAGTGATAATGATAATAATCGTGCTATATTTACAAATCCTCTTTCCTGAGCTGGAAAATATTGATTGAGATTAATTAAAAAAAGAAAATACTTTACTCTGTAGTCTTGTGTGACCTGGTCACAACCTTACTCTCAAAAAGAAAAAAATTAAGACCATCAAATACATGATTAAATGAAAATTCCCATCTCAAAAATCAAGTCTGGCTGGCTGGAAAAATAAAACATGTAGATACCTACATACTTTGGGAATAGCATTTGTGGTCACAAAGGGGTAAGGAAAAACTAAATCCAAACATGATCAAAAGAGCTAAATAATTAGCTTTGACAAAATGAAGAGGATCCACAAGGCTACAGCTAAATCATGAAATGATATTTTAACAATGTGGTATATATAACCTAATAAAGTCTCTAGTTTAAAGGCAGAGAAGATATCAAGATCTAACTAAATCCAGGTTGACTTTAGTGTTTCCTACGATTGAATAAGAAAAATCTTGGGTATTAATTAACAAAAGGGATTTGAAAGTTCTAAAATTGCTAAGAATCAAAATGTCCAGAGCCTAGCAAACGCGTGTTTCCTCCAGATGTTGAAGGAGCTGCCATATTTCGTCCTACTTCCAACGTGAGTGTTTAACAGCATTATAAATAATCGAACAAGGGAAGACATACACTTATTGGCATCTGTACTCATGTTACACGCACGCATTATCACATGGGATTGAAAAAGAAGATGAACATCAGCAACTTGAGTTCCAGAACGAACAGGGATGGAAAGTAAAGAAAATAACAAGCAAGATAGGAAACAAATGTACACGTATATCTTTCTCTGCTCTAAAATAAACAAATAGGGGATGGACATGAGATAATAACAAGCACATCACTTTCCAGAGCAGCAGAGCATGATGGGTCAAGGAAGAAAAGTCTTCAAAGAAGGAACAGCAGAGCACAACAGGAAATAAGGCAACAAAGGAGACGAAAAGAGTGACCTTACTTGGCAAGGACAAGTGTTATGGAGTAGATCCAGAGATAAGAAGCAGACAAAGTAGACTACTAGCCGAAGTGTAGATCTGGTTCACACTGCAGAGATCGAGAGGCAATAAGGAGAAGAAGCACTTCGACACAAGGACATGGTGGAAAGCTAGAGATTGACAAAAAAAGACTAATAGAAGAGAGCTGGAGATCCACGACTGGCTGAAGGAAGCAGATACTGGTCGAAGGAAGCTGACGAAGCTGACTACTGGCTGAAGGAAGCAAACAAAGCAGATGACGAGCCGAAGGAAGCAGATCTGGAAGTGTGTTTTGAAGCAGATTGGGAAGACGACTGGCTGAAGGAAGTAGATCTGGAAGTGTGTTCACGGGTAAAAGCAACATGTACAGGAAGCAAGGAGCAGCTTGGGTAGCTAGAAGACAAGAGAGAGAAAGCAATAAATTTTAAAATGCATTTAAGGCTTTAACGGGAAAACGTGAACGCTGAGCTTCAAAAGCCAGATCAGTTGGCTTTATAGATAATGCGCGTTTATCAGCTAATTGAGGTTGAAAAATTATGTCAATCCAAACAAATTTTTTTTAGTGTTTTGCATCTTAACCTCAGTTTCACCTATACTAACTGAAGTTACAGTATAATCCAAACATGCACTTAGTTTTTGAGTTGTAACTTGTGATCCCTGTTTATCCTTAGAATTTTATTAAGCTCTCAACGACGATTAAAGAACTTGCAAATGATCAATAGTTTCCCAGCTTTTTAAAGCTTTTGTTAATATATCTTTTTTTGTTTTTGCCCTGTCAGTTTTGGTTGCCTTTGAACTGAGAGTGGAATATGGAGGGGGTAATTCAGGTGCAGTTATCTTTGAGAGAAGTCTCCTCTAGTTAGGTCGCAGAAAAAAAATTTGGATAGCTTAGATTTAATTTGATCTAATTTAAATGATTCAGATTTAATAATTTTATTTTTTATTTATATTTTTAAAATAAAAATTATAAAAAAATTTAATAAATATATTAATCAATCTGATAGTTTAGATTTAATATAGATGATTAAATTTAATATAAAAAATTTAAATTGACTCTTCATATATATTCTAAATGGTATAAATATATTTTGAATAAAATAGTAAATTTATTAAAAAAATTTAATATTAAATTTAGATCATGTATATTAAATTTAGACCGTCGATAAGTATATTTATTAAAAAAATTTTACATTTTTTATATATTTTTATTTTAAAAATATAAATAAATAATAAAAATATTAAATTTGGAGCTTTCAGATTAAATTTGAACTACAGATTAAGCCTCTTCCTCAAAAGAGAAGCAGAGGAGGCTTCTCTTAAAGGAGATAAGCCGAGTCCAATTTAGGTAGGCCTAGTTTATTTAGGTCGGACTTATTCAAATAAAGTTTAAAATATTTAAACGTATAAAAAATTTATATAGTGAAGCAACAGGCTACTGAATACTCAAATTAGTAAATATTATTTTATCTAATTTCAAGTTTTATCTTAAAAATTTATATTTTCAATTTTTATATTATTTTTATTTTATTAATAACAATAAAAAGAATTTGGGTATCTAAGCTAAGCACATTCAAGTTTGACTTAGCTCAAATTTTCTCGATTTTATTTAAGTGGTTTGAATAAGTTAAGGATTTATTTGGTTTGAGAGGAGGAAATGGTTTTAATGTTACTTTGTTTAGTTTAAGAGAGGAGAGAAGGAACAATAATTGGTTAAAATTGTTTTTTTAATAAAGTATAGTCATGAATGTTTTTAACATGTAATTATAAATATATAGAGTAGTTATTATTATTAAATATATTATTAAAAATTTATCATTGCTTAGCTTGATTAAAAAGATGAAGAGTATGTAATTAAAATAAGAGATATATTAGTTATTATATAATAAAATTATGCCCCTCCCCTCTCAATTCCTCTAATTGGAAAGGAAAGGTTTGGAGGAGAGGGGAGGAACTTACTCCATTTTTGCAAACCAAATAAGGCGAGGAGAGCTTCTTAACCAAACAGACTCAAGTCCATTTTTAAGAAACAAGATACTTTGGATTTGTTCTGGTGGGCTCGTCGAGTTTATTTTAACTGGCCTCTTGGATTTAGTCAAAATTATCGGATCCGGTGGAATGATTCAAATGACGGCTTTCTAAGTTTAAGAAGTTTGCATACTGGGAAAGAATGTGGCAGGCGAGTGGTTGAAGAGAAATGGAATGATTCAATTATTCGAATGAGAACTTTCGTTTTTAGAAATTTATTCATTTATTGCCGGAAAGCATTGCACATGCGAGTAGTTCAAGTCTTGAAGAGGCATGGAAAGTCTTAATCAACTTACTTTGTGAAAAGGAGATGCCATATGCATGCGGCGGACTTGGCTTTTATCTTTTTTTTTTTTTTTCTTTACTTTCTCTTCACTTCCTATCTCAACTGGGAGATTCATTTTTCAACGATTATAATTTAATGTTTTATAAAATTTTTATTAAAATGTAAAACTTTATAAAAAAAGAAATATAATAATAATTTTATAAAATATTAAATTTCAATCGTTCAAAAATGAATTTGACAGTTGAGATGGAAAGTGGAAAGAAAATGAAGAGGGGAGAAAATGAAGAGAAGCTGGGTTCGCATGTGACCCCCCTAGAACTGAAAATTCAAGCAGGTCCAAATTATTTTGAATTTAAATAGGTTTGATTTTGTAAAAAGCTTGAGTAATTAAGTTTGGCTCGAATTCTTTTAGATTACTCAAATACCTAAATTTTATTTTAAATTAGTTTCAATTACTTTTTGTATTTAAAAATTAATTATTTTATTTTATAAAAATATAAAATATATTTTATATACCTAAATATATAATATGTTAATATTAAATAACCTAAAACATAAAAAAGTGATTAACATTTTTGTTACATTTTATATATTTTTTAAAAATAATTTTTTTATTCAAATATTTGAGTCCATTCGAGCTTACCTGAATTTTTTTTTTTGCCTATTTGTGCTGAACTTTTTTTAATGCTGGCCCTAAATTTTTTTGTTTGAATTCATGTTAATCTATCAAACTTGGCTCGAATAATCGACTTCAGACATTGAAATTGTGCATTTTCAAGATTTCGACAATTTCATCAATTATATTTGTTTTTTTAAGGGAGAATGACAATTAAGGACCTTCTAAGAATATTAATCTCAATTACGGACCATGAAATTTTAAAATACCAATTAAGAATAATGGTCCTTAATTGTGATAAAAAAATATAATTTGTGAGGTGGCATTCACTATTGTCACTTGAAAATTTACTAACTCAACTTGAAAAAATTTGTAATGTATATTGTGAAAATATGAAACCTCATTTGAAAATCAATTGTTTAACCAAAAGCACTATTTAAAAATTCACTAACTCGACCTAAAAAAATTTCTAACATATATTGTGAAAATATAAAACTCCACTTGAGAATCGATTATTTAATAAAAAAACACCAATTTGGATAAGTCACTTTTTATTAAATAATTAATTTTTAAGTAAGGTCTCATTTTTTCACAAAATACGTTAGAAAATTTTTCAAGTTTAGTTAGTGAATTCTCAAGTGGTACTTTTTATTAAATATTTGATTTTCAAGTAGAGTCTTATATTTTCACAATATATGTTTAGAAATTTTTTCAAGTCGAGTTAGTAAATTCTCAAGTAGAGTTTTTTGTTAAATAATTCATTTTCAAGTGAAGTTTCATATTTTCACAAATATATATTAGTAACTTTGTCAAGTTGGGTTAGTAAAATCCTAAGTCACATTAGTAAATCTCACCTCACAAATTACAATTAAGGATCATGGTCCTTAACT